GACTTGGGGTCGTTACGTGAGCTTGTGCTGGTAGAGGACTTTAAGAACACAGTGCCTGAGTGTGTTGCTTGTTATTTAAGTGAACAGAGGGTTTCCACTTTACAGCAGGCTGCCATACTGGCAGATGAGTTTACCCTAACTCATAAAACACATGCTGTAGAAGGTGACGTCCCCGCTATAATACATCTTGGAGAGCTAGGAGGGAGCCAGCTAACGAGGCTGAAAAAGTTGTGGTTTCGAGACTCAGAACGAAGCTTTGTCTCTTCTGCCACAAACCTGGACACCTTGTTGCTAACTGTTTGAGGCTGAAACTCAAACAGAAACCACACTCAAAGCAAAAAGGGCCTGCTTTGAGAAAAGTCAGTCGGGGTTCTCAAACCGACAAGGTTGCCCGGCCTAGTAAAAGGCTACCCTTGGAGCATAATTGCTCAGTAGTGTCATGTAGTCGGGGTAAGAGGTCAACTAACCCTGAGCTGCCGCTGAATGACCTCCTCAAAATGACCTGCAGGGGGACAGACTGTGTATAAAACCACCAGTAAGACCCGCAATCCTGGCTAACAAACATGCGTGTACCGGTGACTTGAGGAATCGTCTGCAAAGTGTTTCAGTAAAGCCCACTAGCTGCCTGCTGGGTTCTCCACATGTGATGGTTCAAAGCCCTGGCTATCACATGGGACACTGTTTAAAGGGTCTGGGGCCACTCTCTGTCAATGTTGTGAACCCACTGAGATGGGGTTGGCAGCTTCCGCAGGAAATGTCTAACCGTCGCTATGGGGCTTGGTAGGTGGAAAGCCTGCAAGTTGGTGATGAAACGGTTATGGACTTGTTTTGGTTATCGTAATAATTTGACAAACCACGGGTTTGTATTTATGGGAGGGAGTGTTATGGCCCTAGCAGGGCCTCCTGAAAGTGCCTGTGTGGGCGTGTCCCACCACCTCTTCACCCTTTTGCCTCCTTGACTCCTTTTCCTGACCCGGACCCTTTTTGTTACTTCCCCCCTCATCGCCTGGACCCTTTTAGGGGAACGTAACAATGGTCACTGGGACATTAAAAACTCAGTGAATAGAATCTGTGGTCTCATCCAGTTCATCAGATTCAAATGTTCTGCAACTTTACCCCAAACTTTTGAAAATAAGACTTTAAATGTGTTTTTCCCATAAGCTACACTTCTACTAAGCATGCACACAGATTCTGAACATTATGACAGAGCAAGTCCAGAAGATTTGGATTTAATGAGCCTCATCTCCATGATGAAAATCAGAAAAACTGATTAACAGAACAGATTTAACTGTTACAATTTGTGCACACAAAACTAAACACAAATATTCAAAGTTAAATTTTTTCCATTATTTCTTTTAATAAAGACAGGGAGATTCACCAAAATGTTGTTGTCATGTGTATCTGCTGTAATGCTTGCTGGTAAGACTTGAACGCCTCATCATTCTGCTTAAAATGTTCAATAAAAACTAACCTACGCGCAACTTTCCTGTGTGACTGTTACACTGATGCTTATATAAATTCATTGGAAGAAATCTAAGAAACCACTGAACTCATGTAGTGACACTGAAGAAGTCAGCCAAGTTCTCAACCAGCTTTTATGTGCAGTGGTGGTAAGTTTTTAAGTGCTTCATTTAGACGTTGTGCTCTTTACATTCCTAGATTTATCTCATAACTTCACTTCCTTCATAATTTTATATTAATTTTACAAAATGTAATATCTTAATCTTCTTCCACTTTTAAAGGGCGGGTCGCGGGGGCAGCAACCTAAGCAGAGAAGCCCAGCCCTCCCTCTCCCCAGCCACCTCATCCAGCTTTTCCAGGGGAACACAAAGGCATTCCCAGGCCAGACGAGAGATATTATCTCCCCAGCGTGTGCTGGGTCTCTTCTCCCGGTGGGACATGCCCAGAACACCTCACCCCGGAGGTTCCCAGGAGGCATCCTTGTCAGATGCCCGAACCACCTCAACTAGCTCCTTACGATGTGGAGGAGCAGCAGCTCTACTCTGAACCCCTCCCGAATGGCTGAACTCCTCACCTCATCTCTAAGGGAAACACCAGCCACCCTTGGAGGGAGCTCATTTCCGCCATTCTTTCAGTCACTACCCACAGCTCACGACCATAGGTGTTGGGTGAGGACAGGGATGTAGATCGATCGGTAAATTCAGATATTCTCTTTTACACTCAGCTGTCTCTTACATCACATACATAATTCAGTTTAAATTATGAAAAGGTTGCCATTGGGAGCAATTGACAGATAAAAATTCACAAACATAACCTCATCATAAAACAACTCTGGTAATTTTACTTTTGATACTTTGATTAAATTTTAATGTCAATACTTTTTTGTGTGTATTTCTACACTGTGGCTGTTTCTACTTATACTTCAGGAATTAATCAGACTGATTCTTCCACACTGATGTGTCGTTAATAGACATGGATGAGGTTTTTATTTTTGTGATAAACAATGACAGATCCACACTCATGCATATACGATGTACCTGAACCTGCAGCTGTTTGAGGCTGTCTGGAGA